CAACCCAAAGATCTTTGAGTGGCCACACCTATTATTTAAAATCCTGCTTTCAGAAGCTGGGAGTAAAAAAGTGACAGTTTTTGCTGGCAAGTCCTGAAAAGGTAGAACCTTGAATTCCAGATCATTATGTACAGTGCTCACGACTCTATATGCTCTGCTTTTTTGAAAAGCAAGTCTTGGAAGAATGAAATGTGACATTGGATTTCTGTGGTTTGTTCCTTTCAAAGTGAAATGCCAGAAGTTTGAGTGTTCTATTAGCCTGTCTCATTTGGGAGCTTTGAAAAACAACATGCCAGCCATTCCTGAATATATCATTTAGGGTCTGAATTTTCTTTACCCTTTGAGAGTTTTACAGACACATCTTTATTCCCGTGAAAATGACTCTTAAGGCCACTAAAGCTGTATTAGAGATCAGACTTGCCTTCCATTTCACTGTGCAGGAGAACCCTGGTATCAATGAGGGATCGGTCCACAAATGACTGAAACTGCAGATAATAGTGAATCCTATCTACAACATACAAGAAGGCAGGGGGAATATTTGTGGTGAAAACATGTCTTCAGTTGCATTTTAAAGTTATTTCCAGTAATTTATTGTCTGGAGGCAGGACAAACGCAACAAGGGGACAGGATGAAGGCCCAAAGGCCTACCACCTTGTATGTTGTACACAGGGCTGTGGTAAACTATGAATAACTGAAACCGTTGTCTCTTGGGTACGAGTTGGCAGTTTGTTGAACTTTTCCGTGTTGGCCAGAAACTCAACTGCTCTCTGACACAACTCTTTTAAACTTTTATGTTTAATTTAATGCCATCCTGAAAAGCTTTAATTTATTTGAAAGTTGTCTTCAAATTTACCAGCTCCTAGGTTTTAATCCAAAACAGAGCTGAGCCTGTCATAAACTGGCACAACACGACTCCAGGAAAGCAATAAGCAAATTAGACTTAACAGCCAATATCTAGGATCCTCTGGTGCCACATCTTGAAATCTAGAGAAAGAGTGGCTGCTGACAATAGATAGCCAAGGCAAATTCCATTGGTGGGTTTGAGTAATACAGGCTCCATGCTCATCTTGATAGGGGTACCACTGCTTTCATTTAAAAAACATGCTGCTCTGTTTAATGCCATTTCTCATTTAAGATTATGGTGGCACACTTTAGGTAGCAATTGGTGAGAAGACACAGTGCCCCAGATTTGGAATTCAGTGTTTTGCCCCTTTCCTTCTGAAGTTCTATAATAACAACGCTGTATCACTGGGCTTGCAGCTTGGACTTTTGATGTTTTTGTTCCTTGAATTTATACAGTTTACTATTTGTTGCACTGTAATTATTTACACTGAGGTGTTTTATTGGCTTTCTTTAAGAGTCTTTCAAATAGAATAGATGGATACATTTATTTTGATAAAATATTCATGACATTAAGATAATACTCTTCATTTGAAGAATGGGGAAATGTACAGTATTAAGCACACATTTTCCTGTATATTGAATGTACTTGGCACAGGTACAGTACTAGCAACAGTGAGTTATATCCTCAGATGTTTGAGTAAACAGAGTAAGATTCAATACTAATTTATTTCATACGGGACATTTATGACTGTAAAGAAAAAGTGCTTCTTTTTTTCTATAACGTGACAGACATGGCACCTGGTAGTTAAAGACTGTAAATAGCTTGTGCAAGGCCACAGGATTACACTCTGTAGTACCTCTACATCAAGTGATAAGGGCTCTATGAAAACCCAGCTAAAGGACCTGCAACTGAACTACAATAGAGATGTGTACCGAGCAAGGAACACATTTTTGGATAGAACTATGTAAGTAAGTCAAGGAGACTTTTTGATAATTTGTAAGAAGTAATTTAATAGTGTTGCACGCTGCATGCTTCACACACACACACACACACACACACACACACACACACACACACACACACACAAATCTTGTCACGAAAGCTGCTATGGCAGCCTAACTGAAACTCTAACATTTGAACCCAATATGACTCAACTCACATGAGACTTTACACAAATATATGAACTGTTCAAGGAAAATGTCCCTTCTGGTAACAAACACTTAAAGGTCACATGCTTACAAATATTTTTTTAAAAAACTCAAGGAAAGCACACAACAGCAAGATTCAAGGAAAGCTGCCATTATAATCACACAATGTACTTGTACATTTACCACTGCCTCAGTACAAAATGACAATATTAAAAAATATTGTACAACAGGATTACAGCTTCAGGTAGATTTTGATGTCACTGTAAATAGTACCAATGCATATCTAAAAAGGTCTATGTTGCAAATAGCTTTGCATTTGTTACACTTGGATGGAATTACTTACTTACCTACTTATTTATTTGATTTATATACTGACCCTTTAGCATAAGCACTACTCTGAGTGGTTTACAGGCTAAAACCTCAAACCTCACAAGACCCCTACATAACAACCTACGTTCAATTAATATGGTGGTACACAATTGTCAAGTCGAAAATTCATACAAAGGGGGGAAAAAGAAAAAAGTTACAGCATCCTGGGTATTCAGTTATTGAAGACAGCTGTGAATAATTCCTTTTCTTCCAATTCCCTGGACATAAGGAGGGAAAGGAGCCTGGCATCTCTCAGTCAGTAACTTGTTCCAGAGACTGGGAGCCACCACCAAAAAGACCTGCTTCTTTGTCATCACATTTTTGCCTCCTTTGGTGTGGCCACTTCTAGGAACGTGGATTGAAAGAAGCAGGTGAAACAAGTACTGTAGCTGATTTCTGAGAGAGATGTTCCAACAAGTATCAAGGTCCTCAACCACTAAGGGCTTTATACCTCATAATCAGCTCCTTGAATTCAGCAATGAAACTGACAAGGAGCCAATGAAGTCACACCATATATATCTGGGGATATATATGATCAAATTTACTAGTCCCACTAATCAGTCTGGCTGTCACATTTTGGATTACAAGAACACCTCACTTAGAAACAAAGCCAAGCTGCCCTTTCAGAAACCTCAGATTCATATCTGTGCATGTGATTAGATGCTTACATTTTTATTCCCAGTGATCCAGAAATTTCATTTACATCAGAATTGTTGGCTGCCTATGATAAGCAAGCACTGCCGCCAGGCAACTAGGCTGAAAAACTTCTGGAAACAGAAGGGGATTCTTTAAAGCTGACATCTTTCCACAAACGGCCAATACAGATGCAAATGAGGAGACAGGTTAATTCTCTTTTTGTTGTTGTTTGTGAACTAGTGATTTCTGTGGAATAATTTGAAAAGGTCCTTTAAAAATTAGACTGTTTGTCTGGCAGGTGTGGTGGGCAGGCTGAAGAATGCAAGGGGCTGCTGAAGGAAACATAACCAACCAACTGCACACATTGAACAGGCAGCACTGCAACTTGCTACTTCACATCCCAAAGATGCACAGTATCTCCAGATGCATGATATTGTTGGTAACCAAAATACAGAAATGGATACAGAACAGTTTGGGAAACTCATATCTGCATTACTGTTTCCTCGTTTTGTTCAAAGCAGGCACTAACAGCTGAAAGCCTGTTGCTTAACATAGTAAGCTGCAACGAAGTAGGCCGATTGAATCAATGGAAATTTCAGAAGAGCTGACTCACCAAATCCCCGTTAGGTTAATGGACCTACTCTAGTTGCAATTTACTATTCAAAGCAACAGGGTTTCAGCCAATGTCTTTAAAACTACTACTGGTACTGTATTATATCTCTTATTACTTGCCTTGCATCCCCGTTAGGTTAATGGACCTACTCTAGCTGCAATTTACTATTCAAAGCAACAGGATTCCAAGCCAATGTCTTTAAAACTACTACTGGTATTATATCTCTTATTACTTGCCTTGAAACAATATAACCATTACAATATAACCATTACACCAGGATTTCCAAAATCAGTACAATGATATGTTTGACATTTAATTCGAAAATATACATTGAGGTGTTCTTACCACCATTTATATATCTGTATCAAGAACAGAAAAAGAGGAACAAAGCTGGACAGAAAAATATCCCCAAAGCTCCCCCTTGTGGGCTAAGGTGTTTTTAACATAAAATACTGTAAAACTGAACGTATTTGCGCATTACCAGGAGATACTCAGAAATGAAACTTTTATGATATTGATTGCATTGACATTAAAGCAGCATCTATCACTTTAATTTTTTTCTGATTCATATCTGACAATTGAGGCACAGTCAACCTCTCCACTTGCTGAAGCAAACAAACAAACAGACAATGGGTAAGTTAGGTTCATTGTATTTGTACAATATGGAAACTGTATACTGAAACAGTAACTATTAAGACATTCACTGAAACTACAGCTGATACCATAATGGAATTTTTTGCATTCCGTACATAAAAATATCACAGTAAATATACGTAATACCATACAGTGCTGCCCGTTTCTTTACCATTTAATGTCAACATACAGACTACAGTGTGGCTATCTAGTATAGCACACATAAATTAAAGTACACATCATTTTTGTAAAACAGAATAGAATTATCAGGTTATCTATACAATTAACACAGCAAGCTCACTCACAAACACATTACCTATGTGCTACTACATATTCAAATGACAGAATTTAAATAATATTTTAGAGCCATATTTTAAGAACAGGGTATCTTTACAAACGCCTCTATTTTTGTTCATGTGGATGTGTGGATAAATTCTTGCTGTATTGATCAGAGCACAAATCAACCCTATTAAAAGTGTGTGCACATGTTTACGTCTGCGTGTGTGCTTTTTAACAAGCTCTATAGCCAACCCAGACTCTGAGAACAGAGTACAGTAAATGAGTACATTTACTTTCGGTGTCGTGCAGTCTTTCTGTTGCAAGGAAACGATTGTTTCCCAAACGAGGATTCGGAAAAAAAGAACCTAATAAAATGCACTCCATAACATGATACGTCAATGTAGAACTGCACCTTTAGTCATATAAGGGAAAGAAACAGTTAAACGGAGCATTAAGTATTATTAGCCAGTACACTTACCTCTTCAACTGTCAGAGGCATACAGATCCGGTACTCCTTCATGAGCATATTCCTGCACATTTAATGCAAATCAGCAGTTTAGGAGAAACGTGATCACAGTCCACCCTGACAGTAGCAAAAAATAAAAAAATATTAATATCTCCAAGTTCTACAGTATGCGGGGTACTCGGCAAGATATGTAGGATCTGCCACTGCTACCATCCAGAAAGCTGACCCAGCAAAAGGGGGGAAAAAACACAATTTCTTCTATCACCCAGTTTCTTCTGCTTCAAATTGAGATCATGTGATTTTTTTTTTCACCCACACAAAGGAGTCTCAAGCACAAAACGCTCTCATTGTGAATTCAAAGGCATCCGCGAGAAAGGCTTTGAAATTTGTGATTTCCTTGCAGTTGCATCAAGACATTCTTAGATCGACAGACGGAGGGGGCGAATGAGGGATCGGAGGGGGGGGGAGAGGAAACCACCAGTAAAAATAGCTGGAGCAGGCAGTCCACAACGTTAATGTCACCAGCGGTGCGAGTCCAGTGGCGGCGGCGGCGGCGGCGTCACGCACTGGATCGGCAAAGAGCAAGGAGGAGATGCTGACTTCCAAAAGACAAAGGGTTTATAACGTTTCCTTCCCCGGCTGGTCAACAAAGCTCGCCCGCTCTCCGCCTCACTGTCGGTGGAGAGGTGGTTAACGCGATCAGGGGGAAAGACAGGGTGTGCCTCGGTTTTTCCTCCCACCTTTGATCATTCATGGGGGCTGGGTTTCCCCACCAGAGCTCTCTCTCTCTCTCCCTCTCTGTGTGTGCCTGTATACGTCGGGTTTGTAGCTGGGCGTGCTGAGAAGTCTCTGCAGCTGCACCACCACCAGCAGCAGCAGCAACCTTAAGCAGGGTGGGAGCGTGTGTCTGACATCAGCAGCCACAGCAGGAAGGATGGCCCCATCCGGCCAATGGGGAAATGGCCCAGGGAAGAATGTGAACATTTTAAACAAAACAGCATGTCTCTGCTCCAGTGCCAGCAAGGAGAAACAGGCGCAAGAATTGCCAGGGGATCATGAGCATCTCAAGAGGTTCTCCCTGCTTCTTTCTGTTGTTCTGGTGGAATAACTGCAGAAAAGCTGCTTTTAGGAGCACTGGGCTGAAGCTGGCCCGTAGCAAATATGGAAGTTGAAGTCCGAAATACACCACAATGTGCTGGGAGAACCTCCGATATGGAATACATTTAGAAACAAACCTACACAATAGAAATAAACAAGAGGAAATTACTGCAGCAGTACTGTAGCAGCAATGTACACTTTTGCAGCTATAACATCTTTTGTTCTTGACTGGGGTGTGTGGTGCCGCATGTGTTTTGAGAGAGATGTGTTCTGTATTATAAAAATGCAGGCAGCTGCCTTTTAATTGAGTCGGTCTGAGAGGGCTATTTATGATCAAGGTGGGAAGCTCCCTCACTGGAGAAACTTGGGAGTGAGGTGCCCCCCAGTCCACAAACTGCCCTACAGTAAGATGACTGGTCTGCCTGGCCCACTATAGCGTTCAGTGGTTGATTTCCGAGGTTTCAGGCAGGATTTGTTCCTAGCCCAACTTGGAAATCTGTGGCGTTTTCCTATCTGTGTACTAAACAGGGACAGGAAAAATCAGGACAAGGACACTTGGTCCCTGAACAATAGAAATGCAAGAACAGGTGATACCTTTATTGGACCATTAAGAAAATAAAAGAAAAAAATAAAGTGAGCTTTCGATGATAATTCATCTTCCTCAGGCTGTGCACCAAATTCTTGTGGGTAGCTCCAAAATTATACATTTATACTAAAGTCCCAAAAGTTTCATGGTCGCTGTTGGGGGCTGGGTGTAGCTTCTTAGATGGAGACAACTGTAGTCTGCAAGATGCTTATGCTTGTGTGGGGAGAAGGGTGTGATTTCAGTCCCCTCCTCAGCCAGTGGTTTGGAATTTATGACTCATCTCTATATACAAAAGGTGGCCAGCACTCTGCCCCCCCCACCCCTTCCTTCCTTTCCCCATTCCCACCTTCATTTGAAATTATTTGTTTTTATTTGGCATGGGGAAACAAGCAAGGTAACCAAAGTATGACAAGCCTCCCTCAGAGCTGGAATTAAACATTTAGTTAAATCACAAGGAAGTCATTTTCAGCCAAATTAAAGACAAATCAATAGTTTTACCTGCTAAATGTTTTCTTCAGCATGCAGTACTGCTTGCCTAGTTTCAAGAATGTGTGATGTTCGTGAACATCAGGAACAGTTCCCTTTAACTTCCAAATCATTAATTAATTTTATTTGTACGATCAACAGATCAGATGTGGAACTTCCAAAGAATTGTTTAAGGTGTTGCTTTTGGTGCTTCTTCTTTTTTTAGCATGAGTACCCTAGTTTTCCAAACAGTCAAATATCCCACCTTTCTAAACACCCAGCAGAGCTCCAAATTAAGGAATTGGGAACTCCACTGGCTGCAACATCCAAACACATTTGTGAAGCCTGTGGGATGTCCTCTGCTAGAGTTCTTCTACAGCAGTAGTTCTCAATCTCTTGCTAACCAGATTCTTTGGACATCAACGCCCACGACCCTCAGCCAGCATAGGCACTGGTCACAGATTCTGGGACTTTAAGTCCAGAACTGGAGAGGCTTATGTTGACAAGTATTTAATATATAAATAATACATAAATTCTAGAGTATTTAATAATAGCAGTGAGGTTATTCTAATTAAAAATTCCAGAGTATTCCAATTAAATTGGCAATGCTAGAATCTAAATCTATACACGCAAACAAAAGTAAACGGTTTATATTTTGGGGGAAGATACTCTGAAGCAGCAAGCAAAGGAATCTCAAGTTCTAAAATCAGTTTATTAAAAAAAAAACCTCTAAAACACTTCATGGCTTTGCCTCCGATTATTTCTCTAGTCTTATTTTAACAGATCTCTTACTATGACCTTCACTTGCCCAGTTTCATGAATGCCAATCTTCAAGTCAATTACTTCCTAAAAGATGTCCACCCCTTCTCCATTGTTCCTTACTGTTGGAATGGCACTCCAGAGGAAACAGCTGTTATTAATTGCAACAGGTTTCTCCTCAAAATAACTGTCTTTTTGGGAAGACCTTTGGGCCATGCCTCAAAATACTATCATGGGGTCAATCTACAGCAATGGGTACTGAATACTGTTATTACCCCACTATAAAAAAAAGCTGGTGCATACTGAAATAACAGTATATGCTTGAAGTGTTTATGCTGGCTTTTATTCCCCTTTCTCCTGTCCTTTCCTGTGTATTTATTTTTAGACTGTAAGTCCCCTGAAACAGGAACCTGACAAACTTGTTCTTTGTAAAGTGCCATGTACACAGATGGTGAGGGTTTTTTTTTAAAATGTATTTCTCTTATTTGCATTGGGCTGAATCCAAAGACCTATGATTAGAAAGATAATAGCTACTAGCACTGGGCTCCAAAAGCTTGTATAACAATTGAAACAATGGTACAACTGGTGGATTCTTTAGTACATCATATACTTTCCATTATGTAGGTTCTTTAACAAATTTTGAAACAAGCAAAATAACCTCTTTGGACTGGTAATGTTAGTCTGCCATTATAAAAGACAAACCAGACATCATATAGCACCTTTTAGACTAGCTAATTTTTATTTTTCCTAAGCTTTTGTGTGTCTAAACACACCTTTTCAGATGAATGCAGTGGCTGTGTCTCTGAGGGAAATATAAAACCGATGGCAGTTTAAAACCATTGGCAACACTTCTAAGCTGTCAACAGTTCTCTCTGTCAATAGTTTAAAACTGGATCTTTAACAAATAATGGGGAGGGATTGGTGGTGACTAGGTGACAAAGGCCCAGATGACTGGATTGACCTATACAATGACAAAGGAAGCCATTGTCTTTGTTTAAGCCTAGGGAGACTGATGAACTTCCTGATGTAGCCTCCCTTTTCAACCTGTCCTTGAAGTTTCTTTGTTCAAGGACAGCAAGTGAGATCAGACAATGTCCAAGAAAAGTGACGTGTTCACCCACTGAGTTCTGAGTATTTCTATTCCTGAAGCCCACTTTGTGCCCACTTACTGTCTTATGTAGAGTTTGACCTGTTTGTCCATTATAAAATGCGGTAGGGCATTGCTGATGAAAACTTGCCTAAATCACATTGGATGAACTAGTGAGTGCCTGATATTGTGGATATGGTGTTTGATCCTCTGATGGCGTCTCCTGTATAAATACGTGGACAAAGCTGGCCAGCTCTGGTTCCTGTGTGGCTCTGATAGAGTCTGTTATTACAGTACTGGTTAGAATTCTCCTTAGGTTATGTGGCTTTCTGTATGCCAGCATGAGTTGCCCATCTAGACCTGTCAGACTTGTCAGTATCGAAGATGGGATAATGCACTTCTGTGGTTTTACCTGTGAATGATTGATTATCTTAAGACCAGTGATATACTACTATTGTTATCTGGGTTGGGTTTATCTTGTAAAAGCTTACTTCTGGGCATCTGCTTGGCCCTGTAGTTCTGTTGTATGAGCTGGGTATTTGAGTCTTAAGCAATCATTCTCTCTCTCTCTCTCTCTCTCTCTCTTTTTTGACATAAACACTGCCTGAAAGAAATACAAGCTGAATCAATATACATATGTCACATGATGAACCTTATAAGGTGGTGTGTGAAGAATTGTTTCCAACTGTGGCCCCCTTCATATGTGCCAGGATCCCGTTCCCCCCCTCCCCGAGCCATATGGCCCTTCTTGAGAATGGCTGGTCTGATTAATGTATTCTTCAACTTTTCCAGCAGGGAGATTGTTTCAGACAGTTCTGTGCAGATGCAGTAGTATTGTAATGCTTGGTTGTAAATGATGGACTTTTAAAATGTTTTGGGGGTGTCACCTGGAAGCATGTCAATATGTTGGCCTGTGGGCTTCTGGTATAAAGTGGAGTTTAGCAGCTCATTATGTAGCTGAACTGTGTATCCAGGAAGTTAACCTGGTTCATGCACTGGTAATCACGAGGATAGAATATTGCCTGTGCTCTCTATGTGGGGCTGCCCTTGAAGGCAGTTCAGAAGCTGCAGTAAGTGCAAAGCACAACAGCCAGGTTGGTGTTTGAAACATCACAATATGTTCATATATCACCTGTCCTGGCACGTTTGCACTGGCTGCCTGTATGCTTCAAGGTGCTTGTGCTGACATTTAAAGCCCATAATGGTTTAGGACCTTGCTGCTTGTCTCAGTGCCTCTCCCTCAAAACAACTACCCATCCCATCCAATACTGTATGTTATACTGTGATTTATATATAATATATAACTTTTTTTTCCTTTTTTGGTACTATTTTGGTTTTCTTTTCTCATGCAACTGTCCTCCATTATTTTGTATTGTCCTGCTTTTTGCTTCTGAAGAGCTGAATCTACATAGAGTGCTTTAGCGCTATGGAGTGGGATATAAGTTGAAACACCAACACCATGTTTCATGCATGTAAGCAAGGATACACTGGCACTTCTTACAATGTGTAACCCAACGTTTAGTCTAGATGAAATGACAAACGGGCATATATACACATGCCTTATGTCATAGCATTCATTTGTAACACAGCATTTGTTTCCCTAATGGAAACTGACCCCTCTTTCCTACACAGCTATTTAACTTCCTTTTCCTTTATGAAAAATGAGCATACAATTGTTGCTCTTCTGTCACTTCTGCAACTCCTACATTTTTTTCTCTAACCTGAAGCCCATTAAACAGTAACAGAAACAAAGCCAGTGGTAATAACTATGGAGCTGGAGTACCTGGGTTGGGAGTTTGATTGCCC